GTGGAATTCATCAAAGGTATAATTCTAATCACAGTTTCTATCTAAACACATTGCAGATCCTCGTTTGGGAATTGAAAATTGTTTTATTTTCGCTGTGCATGATTAAGTAAATTCCCAACACTTTACTCTTCACCAACTGCTGACTAAGTTTGCAGATTTGGTTTCGAGGTACAATATCGGCGGTGTAAAATTTTTATCCTACCCATCGGGGATAGATGATCATAATTGTAAGAAAGTAATAACCATAATTGTAAGAAATGCAACCGTTAAAGATTTAATAAGATTGTTCACATCCTCAAAAAAATGAATTTTTTTATTTTTATTTTTATTTTTATTTTTTTTTTGGGTCCAGTGGAGAAAATCCTAACTCCACCGCTAGTCGGGTACTTCCGAATTTCGTGCTGACTTATGGACTTATATTATTTCTTCTGGAAAGTGGAATAAATCCTCCGTCCCTGCTACGTGTTTCGAAATCCCGGGTGCATGCATTTATGTATATAAGTCTACAGTGTCCACGTAAACAATCAAACTCCCCGGTTCGTCGTTCTCCACTTGTTTCAATTCTTGAGTCAGTTTTAGCATTGTGCGTGAATTAGTTGTACAGAGGAGTACTACTCAATGTCTATTTCTTCAGCCGGATTTCAGACCACTGAAAATGCCGCCATTGACGACACGGTCGCCGGCATGCTCGATTACTCCGGCCAGCCAGCCAAGAGATCGACATCGGGATACCGGCGATCTGCCTATTTCACTATAGGTAACTGCTCTTTTCTTTTCTTTTTCTTTTTCCATACATGCATCTATTATATAAAGGAACACAATGGTGAATAATTATTGTTTATATTTTTGGAATAATTTGTGATAAAAATTGTTATTTATCATTGTTATGTCTGTCAGTCAAGTTCTTATAACGTTGTTATTTATAAAAATTGTACACGAGACTTGTAGACAACCATGGCATGTTTGGTAGGGAAGTTAGATATTGTCCGACAATAATAAGGAGAAAAATAATAAAAAATTTGTTTATCGATCAATTTTATCGAGTATTGTGTACCATGTTATGTTTATGCTATATTGAACTTAAATTCTAATAGATAACCATTTTCTATTTCTAGCTGTTTGTTTGAACTTTTAGATAAATTGATTCAAAGTAAAATGAGCCTTTTAAGTGCTTAATCCAAATATGTACTATTTCGTTGTATCTTCAATGAGTTCGAAATCATGACAAGAAGTGCGAACTGAATGACAGGTGCTGCGGTGGCAGAGAAATTTGCTTATTTTGGAATAAGTTCCAACATAATAACTTATCTTTCGGGGCCTCTTAGGCAGCCAACGGCAATTGCGGCTGCCGAAGTGAATATATGGTCAGGCACTGGCCTTCTACTGCCACTTTTGGGTGGTTTTGTAGCCGATTCATTTGTGGGTCGATATTGGACCATTGTATTTTCTTCTGTGGTCTACATTTTGGTAAGTATTCAATTTGATGTTTTCTCAAATATGATCGTGGTTTAATTGCATTATATTTGAGTGCAAAAGTAAAAAAAATTCCAAGTATATAGCATTTTTTTGTTTCATATGCTTCTATCCAATCTAGAATAAAAGAACGATGCAAAAGGTATATTTACACGCAAGATTGGATGTGTAGAATTCGGAGTGAGTTCATATAAGTCGTACATAAGGAACTTTGATGCACACACCAAATTCATTTATTCATCAATGTCATGTTTTATAGGGAGGATTATTAAGAAAGAACTAGAAGCTAAATCTTTTTTCTATGTATGGTTCAATCGAGTCCACTACTATGTTCCAAATATGCACTAATAGCGAAAGACCTAATCACCTTTTGCATCGGTCCCTGATGCTCACCATTTTTCTGATTGGATGAACACAGGCACTTGGGTTGTTGACTCTATCAGCCATGCTTAACAGCGAAAGACCTAATCACCTTCAAGTTTTCTTCTTCTTCTTCTCGCTATATTTAGTGGCATTCAGTCAAGGTTTGCAAAACCCCGGTATCATGGCTTTGGGGGCCGACCAGTTTGATGAAAAAGATGCTGAAGAAAGAAGAGGCCGAAGCTCGTTTTTCAATTGGATCTATTTTAGTTCAGTTGCAGGTCCTTTGACTGCAGTTTCGGTCTTGAATTACATTCAAGATAACGTTAGTTGGAGTCTTGGATTTGGTATCCCATGCATTTCAATGGCAGTTTCATTGGCCATATTCTCGTTCGGAACTAGATCTTATCGATATACAATCAAAGTCGAGGAGAATCACCCACTCTGGAGGATTAGTCGTGTGTTTGTCAAAGCAGCTCTAAATTGGAGGACCAAATCTTCCACCAGTGTCTACAATGTAGAAGGGCAAGAAACAGTGCCTCAACTATGTTCCCAACAATTCAAGTAAGATACGAGTTTCTCTTGTGTTCTCCTTTTTAAACTTCTTTCTTATTGACTTTAGTGAAATCTTGCAACGGCAAGTGGACGTAGGTTCAAGGTTGACAGTGAACAGCTACAAATATGTGCATTTGTGTTTGTGTTTTTCTGTCTGGTATTCGTTCATTATCGCTCTCTGGATTAGGAAGAACTATTTGAGAATCAACCTTTTAGCGAGGTCTGCGAACTACTTATAAGCTAAGAAATTGGTGGAGTTGAGGTTCTAATTTGTCAAATAGCTAGCTGGATATTAATAGAGACACTTAACTTCTTCAATAGGCTAATCTTGCTCTACTGCCCTTGCTTAAACATCATGCTATTCACTCTCGTGTATTTACGGGTCCATGACAGGTTTCTTAACAAAGCTTTGCTTGCACCAGATGGTTCTGGAGAGTACGAGGAGGAAGCAAGCAATGTAAGTGAAATTGAAGAGGCAAAGACACTTTTAAGGTTGATTCCTATTTGGGTAACATCTTTGGGATATGCTGTTGTCTCGTCTCAAACTTCAACTCTATTTACCGAACAAGGAATAACGATGGACAGATCTATCAGTTCAAGCATCGATATACCGGCTGCATCACTACAATGCCTAACCGGTTTTTCAGTTATTCTCTTAGTTCCAATTTATGACTGCATTTTCGTGCCGATTGCTAGAAGTATAACGGGAAGTCACTTGGGCATAACAAAGCTGCAAAGAATCGGAACGGGAATGTTTTTGTGCATTCTTTCCATGGTTATTGCAGCACTCGTGGAGAGCAAAAGACTGGAAACTGCTCGGACGTATGGACTGGTCGACTTACTGAAAGAAAAGGTACCTATGAGTTTTTGGTGGTTAGTGCCTCAATACATACTATGCGGAATGACTAATATTTTCGCAATGGTCGGATTGCAAGAACTATTCTATGATGAGGTACCTTGCAAATTGAAAAGTGTAGGCCTTTCATTATTTCTTAGCATTCTTGGCATTGGTGAGTTCTTGAGCAGTTTTCTCATATCCATAATTGATAATCTTACTCGTCGAGCCGATGGAGATGGTTGGTTTTCGAGTAACCCAAACAGGGCACATCTAGACTACTTTTATTGGTTACTTGCTGGACTTAATGCCCTGGAGCTTCTTGTATTCTTGTACTTCTCAAAATCTTACAACTATAATGGAAATCAAGGTCTTATATGACTGTAAACCACTGTTGATTTGCAGCTATGTGAATGTACCACCACTAGGTTAGATACAAGTCTCCTTTACCCTTTTTTCGATCTTTTTTTCGACAAACGGGTCAGGTAGGTTGATGTCGAGAGCCTATGTACTTATTAAAATGTGTCGGAATGTACGTAATAGAATTTACATGTTCTATTTAGGCTAGCTTTAAAATGTTATAAGAACTCGGAAGGGCCTGGTTAGACGGTTGAAAACGTTTTGAAAATCGTTCTGACCCATTTTCAAATAAAATATTTTTTTTATTTAATTTTATTATTATTATTATTTATCTCGGTTCGACCTCATGAAAATACTGGTCCAACCAAGAACCCCTCGAGTCTGATTTATTCGAGACATACAAAAAGAGAAATTTACATGAATGGCACTAATTTTCCACGAGTTTTTAGTTTCGTACCACTTTTTTGGCTTCTGCCAATGTGAGACACTAATGCTACTTCTTGGTTTTAATCTTTATCAACTCAACAATAGTCATTTTACTATGTAAAATTACTACCAAAAAATTTATATTTTCCATCTATTTACATATTTATTGACTCGGATCGAGATTCTCAATTGGACTGGCAGAACATACTCGAGATTGAATAAAATGAAATTAATTGTCATGTGACTTAAAGAATACTAAGTTCTTGTTTCAATTTCGTTCTTTAAAACTTTTTTTTTCCTCAAATTCACTTTAAACAATAGGCTTTCAATAAATAAGTTTGCACATAAATTCAATTTTTTCTCTATTTTTTAATCACATATATTCTCCAAGAAAGTATTTTTTATTACAAAATTTAATTTCAAACAATGACCAAATATATGTCGACAATTGAGTATAGTGTTATTTTACTTGTCACCTTTGCAAGTGACATGTAAATTTGTGTCGAGTAGCTGAAATGGTCATACCTAAAGTTGTACTTTCAAATCAACGACTCGGGATTGTAAATAGCTAAAAATGTAATTTCAAATCAACTAGTCGAAGTTAATACTATATATCATGGTGTTTAAATTGAAAATAATGTGTCTAAATGTAGATATTGAATTGTTCACATTTTCAATAGCTTACCTTTTAGTCATGGAATGCAAATGGTGGTCCAACATAAAGCCTGTATGTATATCTATGAATATTTTTTTAGTCAATTTTTTTTACCATACTAAAATATGAAGTCCCTACTCGGAACATTTCTAAAATTAGGATCCTATTTAATAATTTAGGTTGAACTAAGGGTTCGTTTGATTCAAAGATGGAATTTGGGTGGAAAGAAAACGAATTGTAGGGAATTGAATTGTCTAGAATTTGTTTTATTGAGAATTATCAATTAATTGTGTTTGATTGATATAATTTTCCACTTGAAAAATGTTGAAATTTTCTATCTTTTGGTGTTCGTTTGACTTTGTTTTTTATGAAAATTGTCAATTAAAGAGAATTTTGTTTTTTTTACAATTAGTGATAAAATTTG